CCTCCGGTCTTTCGGTACTTACCCGGTCGCCGGCGGTCCCACGCCGGCGATCGCGGTGGGGGGGACTCCCAGGGAGCCCCCCGCGGCACCTCCGTCTTCCAGGAAGCCCCCCGGCCGTGTGAGAGTGGGGTCCTAGCGAGGAACCCACAATCACATGGCCGGGGATAGCTGGCTTCTGCATTGCCAGCAGGGGGGCTGCCTGTAATTACAGGTGGTCCCCCTGCTGGCTGAAAATAAAATTAAAATAAGTTAATGGTGTAAAAAAAATAATTATATATACTTAGATCATATGTATATATTATATATATATGATCTAAGTATATATATACACATATACATACACACACATACACCGTCTAGGTGTATTTTACTATTAATATATATATAATTATATATATATATATATATATATAACATATATATATATATATATATTAATATCAAAAATTACGTAGACTGATACTGATTAAATATATATATAATTATTGTTATATATATATATTTATATATATTATAAATAAAATTAAAATGTAAAATACGTTAAAAAAAATAAAAATTAAAAAATAATTAAAATAAATAATTAAAAATATATAGATGTGTGTTATTTCGTTCTAACTGTTTTGTGAAATTAATATATATATATATATATATATATATATATATATCAAAATACACGTAGAACGAAATAATATATCTATCTATATACATAAATATATACGTATATATCACTATATATATACCTATATATAAATAAAAATATTTTTAAAAAATTATATAGATATATACATATATATACACATGCGTATATATATACATATATTAATTCTACATATATATTTATGTAATATTTTTACATAATTAGGTATCTTAATTACTTACAATTAGCAGGACCTGCCTGACAACCCATGCCGAAAGTAAAGGGAATTTAATTTGCTAGCAGTATATTTAACCCTATAACTTTCCGAGACACCATAAAAACCTGTACATGGGGGGTACTGTTCTACTCGGGAGACTTCGCTGAACACAAATAGTGTTTTCAAAAGGCGGTAAAATGTATTACAAGCGATGATAGCAGCCGTAAAAGTGAAGTTTTTGCATTTTTTTTTCGCGCACAAACGGCATTACCGCGGACAATATTATTGCTGTGATACTTTTTTAATGTTTTGAAACACCTGAAATATTTGTGTTCAACGAAGTCTCCCGAGTACAACAGTACCCCTCATGTACAGGTTTTATGGTGTTTTCAAAACTTACAGCGTCAAATATAAGGCTTGCGTTTCATTTTTTTCACATTAAAATTCACCAGATTGGTTACATTGCCTTTGAGACCCTATGGTAGCCCAAGAATGAAAATTACACCTATGATGGCATACCATTTGCAATAGTAGACAACCCAAGGTATTGCAAACAGGGTATGTCCAGTCTTTTTTAGTAGCCACTTAGTCACAAACACTGGCCCAAATTGGCGTTTTTTGCATTTTTCACACACAGTAAATACTGCGCTAACTTTGTAGTGTTTGTGACAAATTGCTACTAAAAGACTGGACACCCTATTTTGCAATACGCGGGTTATCTGGCATCGAACCTTCTGTATATGATAGGAAATGCATTCCGGGCTATACGGTAAAGAGAGCAGCATAATATGGCGAATTTCTTCAAATATAGCATTATATATTTGACCTGCTTGTAACTTCCCAAAGCATACCATAAAACCTGTACATGAAATTTGCACAATGCTTACACGTGAGACTTTACTGAATACAAATATGTGTATTTTATTGCAGTAAAAGCAAACAGTATTATGACACTGACCGTTAAAATGTCATGTAGAACTAAAAAAAATCAAAAAAAAATCGTATTTTCTCCCATTTGTTTCATATTAAATTATGTTTCATAGCTAAATATTTGATATTAAATGAAATCCATGTTTCCCCTGAATAAAATGATATATAATAAGGGTGGGTGCATTTACTATGAAAGAGGTGTATTACGGTTGGACAGACATGTAGCGCAAATGCCAGGTTTTGTTTACATTTTGTTTTGTTAACAACGTGTACATTTGGCTCCGTCCTTAAGGGGTTAAACATCTGTATGGACTCTGACAAAACCACCTTTTCAATCACATAATTCCACATCCTTATTGCTCGTAAAAAAACCTTTTCTTTGCCTTAGATGAAATCTCCTTTCTTCCAGCCTAAATGTGTGACCTTGTGTTCTATGTATAGCCCTGTTTATGAATAGATTTCCAGATAATGGTTTGTACTGGCCCCGGGTTACAATTACAGGTTTGTTAGTCCACCCATTGTAAAGCTCTGTGGAATTTGTTGGCGCTATATAAATAATAACTCAACATAATAATAAGCACAAGCTATATAATAATAATAACCACTTAGATGCAATTATGTCCCAATAAACCAATATAATAAAATCATATAAAATGGAAATTATGGTCATGAGAAGTGCATGTCTAGTGTTCATATTGCCATACACTAAACAGCCATGCCACTTGGGGCAGCAATTATTAGTCATGAATCAATATCACCACCAAGGAAGCCACTGAAAGAGCAACATTACAAATTAGCAGACGTATTCACTAAAGTGGAAATTCAAAGTGAAATTTAAATTTCAGATCAAAATGTCCTTAAATGTAAAATACCCCATCCTTAAAGGGTTAAATATATTCTCCTCCTTTATTGTGTGGACTCCCTTTATGTATTTAAATGTTTCTATCATATCCCCCCGGTCTCCTTTAACCTTTCCATGTACGTATTGTCCTGCAATCCTTGAACCAGTTTAGTAGCCCTTCTCTGAACCCTCTCTAAGGTATCAATATCCTTCTGAAGATACGGTCTCCAGTACTGTGTACAATACTCCAAGTGAGGTCTGTACAATGGCATGAGCACTTCCCTCTTTCTACTGCTAATACCTCTCCTATACAACCAAGCATTCTGCTAGCATTTCCTGCTGCTCTATTACATTGTCTGCCTACCTTTAAGTTATCAGAAATAATCACCCCTAAATCCCTTTCCTCATATGTTGAGGTTAGGACTCTATAAAATATTCTGTACTCTGCCCTTGGGTTTTTACATCCAAGATGCATTATCTTGCACTTATCCACATTAAATGTCAGTTGCCACAATTCTGACCATTTTTCTAGTTTACCTAAATCATTTGCCATTTGGATTATCCCTCCTGGAACATCAACCCTGTTACATATCTTAGTATCATCAGCAAAAAGACATACCTTACCATCAAGACCTTCTGCAATATCACTAATAAAAATATTAAAGAGAATGGGTCCAAGTACAGATCCCTGAGGTACCTCACTGGGGACAAGCCCAAGCTTTGAATATACTCCATTGACTACAACCCTCTGTTGCCTGTCACTCAGCCACTGCCTTACCCATTCAACAATATTGGAATCCAAACTTAAAGATTGCAGTTTATTGATAAGCCTTCTATGTGGAACAGTGTCAAAAGCCTTACTGAAATCTAGGTAAGCTATGTCTACTGTACCACCCTGATCTATAATTTTAGTTACCCAATCAAAAAAATCATTAAGATTAGTTTGGCATGATCTCCCTGAAGTAAACCCATGTTGTCTCTGATCTTGAAATCCATGTGATTTTAGATGTTCAACAATCCTATCCTTTAACATGGTTTCCATTACTACTGAAGTAAGGCTTACTGGCCTATAGTTGACCGACTCCTCCCTGCTACCTTTCTTGTAAATGGGCACAACATTCGCTAACTTCCAATCTTCTGGGACTACTCCTGTTAATAAAGGTACAAAGATTTGAGGAATGATGTAAGGTCAGAGTGCTCAAGCTCCCTCATCATCAAACGTCACAATTATCATTGAGTACTTACCGGGGTAATGACTGTGAGGTCAGGAAGGTGACTTCCTCCAGCACATGGGTGGTTGCTCAGGAGGACATCTCCTTCTTTCAGGTCATCCTGAAGATTTCGAAGCTATGTTTCAATTACACAAAAGCAGAAATGTAGTCAGTCTGGATACGTTTGTGCTACATATTGTCTAATACAGACACATCCCAAGCAAATTTTCTCATAATACTCTATTTGTTAATCTTCCCATTTACTTTTAATTAAACTGGATGACATATAAAGGTGGTGGATTGAATAATTGGAATCTTTAGGAATTAAATAAAAAGAATAGGAATAAGTCACTGAAAACTATTTAATACTGATCATTTATCAAGTATTGTTTTGTATAATTTGTATATTAAGGATTTTATTGCTTGATAAGTATGTAAAATAATTATGAATGAATACAAAATGGATGTTAAACTCCAGCCTGAGTATTCTGCAAGCCTGGAATCTAAACCAACAATATCTTTTTGAGTTATTTTAGGTCTGATCTCACCTGGAACTGGACAGCTTCTTGCATTGCACCCAAGTGGACAGGTATATGGGGGGCATTAGACACAAGACCTCCATCAGGGCCAAAAAGAGCACATGAAAAATCCAAGCGCTCCTTGATATTGGTGGATATGGCTGTCCTTTGTAAGATACGACCCATTTGTTCTGTAAAACAGTCAGAAGTACCAACTGTAAACTAAGAAAACACAGGCAGAAAAAAGCCAGATTGGACAAAAGTATTGAAAAGTAAAGAATAGAGGATCTGTAATGACCTGCAATGCTCATGAAGCGATGGGAGAAGATGGACAGCTGTATCGTGTCAAGCTCTGTCCCAATTGGTCGCTGATGCTCACTTCCTACTGAGATCTGAATATCTCCATATTCTGTAACAGTGGCTGTGCAATTGGGTTCAACAAGGATAGTGCTGTAAGGAAAAAAAAAAAAAAGAGGCCTTATTTGGACTTCTTAAACATCTACGGTCATCCACTAAGAAGCAGTAGGAGGCTTCCTGCCTCCATGTTATAGGTCATGTCAATGACAACTATTTAGAGACCAGTAATGTAACTCCTGAGTTTTAGCTTGGCTGAGGAACTGCAAAGAGGGTCACTGATTGCCAAGCATTTACCAAGTTTAATCCTTATTGATTTGAAATAGGACCCTCTTGGGGAAAACAATCTGAAATCCCAAATAGTTGCAGAGCCATTAAATTTCCATAGAGTTGGGGAATAGGGAGTCACCAAATGTCCATAGAGTTAGGAAATGGGGAGTCACTGAATTTCCATATGGTTAGGGAATGGGCAGCCACTGAATCTCTATAGGGTTGGAGAATGTGGAGTCACTGAATTTACATAGAGTTGGGGAATGTGGAGTCACTGATTTTACATAGTGTTGGGGTATGGGGAAATGTTAGGCAAATGGTTTACTTGAGGACACCAAGTCATAGACAAGAGTTTACCAGTCATCTAGATTGTTACATGATCAGTAAAGTCACCCACATTTTATTTAACATAGTAAAGGAGGACGCATCATATATTACTTATTTTAATTATACTGGAATGACTAGTAAACTCTTTAGGCCAATGGGTCTGAAGCCTTTTCTTCACGGGTAACCAGATTATGTACATTACATAGTATAGCGACATCGTCTTCAAATTCAGGGACCCATTCCTCAAGTGAAATAATTAGCTGAAAACTCCTAACATTTCACTAGTAAATTTCACCATTAACATTTCCACTATTTCTCGTACCTGTTTTTGTCAATTATGATGGCCGGCCCTTGAATGGTGTGATCACATGCCAGTTCTTGCAGGAGATACACTGAGGTGTCCTTATACCCATCTTCAAAGTAACATTTAGTGACCTATACAGCAAGAGCAGAAACTTATTGGGTGAATAATGCTGAATATGGGAATTATTCCTCTGAAGAAGCATGGAACAAATTAAAAAGTGTTCTTAAGTACTCTAATTAAGACACAAATTATAGTGTTGCTCAGAGAAAAGTATTGTTGCAATTAAAATTGTAGCAAAGTGGAGGTAAAAAAAAAAAAGACTTAAGTCCAACCTATCAAGTCTGTTGATCTCAAAGAAGGTGAAAACCCTACATGAAGCAACATGCAGTTCTGTACAGAAGGGAAACACTAAATGGGTAACATCAGAAAACACTTTTTAAAAGAGGTGAAGAAGGTGTAAAGTCTGCTGAAAGAGGGCGTTTTTACACAAGTGTTTAATGATTTAGACATGCTCATCACAGATTCTCCAGATGGCCATCTATCGGGGGAGAGGAACTTGCAAAATTGGAACCATTACAGGGACAGAGATACAGTTTTGTTTTTTTAATTCACACATTTAGCCTTATTTAAGACAGTTTACTTTATTTTTTTATTACATTTTTCAAGTTATCCCCCCCCTTCAGATTAAAAAAATCTTAGTGGTTTTAGTGACTCTTATTCCAAAGGGCCCCTAGACGTGGACACCCATTGATACATTTAATGACAGAGAAAGAATACCAACAATGACAAGCACTTACGGTCTCCACACGGGCAGGCTGTCCGCTAGGCTTGATACAGCTCTCACAGCGGATACCAGTGCTACCAGTTCCCCGGACACGGATGTCATCCACTACAATGTTACGAGATGGAATTGTGAAGCCAAACTCGGTCATGTATCTGTGAGTGATTACATGCATACATCTAGATTTTCAGTACAGCTTGTATAATAAAATATCTTCTAAACTCTAACCAATTTCCTAATCTTCAAACACAAACAGGCAAAGAAATGCAAGATGCAAGTGAGCCAATAAAACCCACTTCCCTACCCTTTGCTCCACTGGTGTGTGGTCTTCACTTTGCACAGTAACTAATTTATTTACCAAGGCTCCATACTGCCCCTCTGCATCTCTGAAGGAAGAGGGACTTAAATGGTAACTCCTCTCATTCTCCCATCCCATATGCTTCCTAGGTTTCAAATACATGTAATTTTTAAATTAAAACAACAATAATGAAAAGTTATAAGCCATTAATTGACAGATAACATAGTAGACCATTAATAATACGAAACTTGGTCACGGATAACACTATACTCCCTTTATCTTAATATTCCTGCTGTGGGTTTTATTTACCAAACAGTGAAAGTTCATGAACTTAAAATCAAATTAAAAAATTTGCACCACAACAGCAAATAAAATAAAAATCCATCTGTATTCCAGAGGTATTAATATAAAATACAAACACAAAATCTCAACTGTTAAAAGAGAATGGTCCATAAAAGAGGGTACCTAATAATTAGCATTCATTCAATTCGACTGCCAGTTTTTATGGACTTTTATATAGCGTTAGGAAGAGGTCCAATTTTAGTCCATGATCATGTTTAACACTAGTTTTATCCCCATTATCTCACTATACATCTTCACCTGTAGCAGAAGGCCTTTCTGAAATCACCGACTCGACACGAATCGGCAGTTGCAGGGTATCCCTTGGAGGAGCACATGAGGGAACAGTCTGTACCCTCATATCGTAGATGTAAGAACGGCTCCGAGTCAATCTGAGACCTAAACAAGAAAAACAATCCATTTGTTCCCAGTAATACAAAGAGACATGCTGTGCTCGTAATAGGCAACTAACCCTCGGTAAATTGAAGGCCTTAGCAAATTGCATGTAGGTCGCTACAGAAATGTTTCTCAAAGGTTTCCTCTCGGACTCATTCCCTCTAGATTGTAAATCAAGCTCTTTTTATACCTCATTTTTATGCTGTACTCAATTCCATCTAGATTGCAAGCTATTTCTATACCTAATTTTTACCCTCTACCCCATCCCATCTAGAGTGCAAGCTTGTATGCCAAGCTCTTTCTATACCTCATTTTTACCGTCGTAGATTCTCTGTAGATTATAAGCTTATGAACTCTATACGTTGTTTCACCTGTACCCATTCTCTGTAGATTATAAGCTTTATACCACGTGTTTCCCCTGTACCCATTCTCTGTAGGTTGTAAGCGGTCGCTCTTTATACTACACGTTTCCCCTGTACCCATTCTCTGTAGATTATAAGCCATCTCTCTTTATACCACGTGTTTTCCCAGTACTGCATTCTCTGTAAATTGTAAGGCGGGCTCTTTCTATACCTCGTATCAGTGAGCTTGCCATTATCTTTAAGTGTATAATCTCAGTCAGCTGGACTTGGTGGCACCCATCCCTAATTTGAATTATGCTGCCATAGTTTCACCTATGAAATCCTTGCTTTTGTAGTTCCTCAATACACTGTTTCTCGAGTGCAGCAATGTGCTCCTCCAGGTAGCGGTAGGAATTTGCGTTATACACCATGGAACAAGGTTCCTGTGCCTCGTGTACAACATCGGCAAGAGCCATGCCAAATGCTGAGAGGATGCCTCCATACCTATGCAATGAAAAATATAGTGAAATCAACCAACTGTGGAAAACCAGCATGTAACAAAAATATGGTATGGGTGACAGTAACCATCCAGCCTCTTACAGCTGCCCATTGCTGGAATGAGCTAGTGGCTAAGACAAAGTATATTCTTCACCTTAGCCGTATCTGCTGCGGGCGACAAGCTGCAAGCTGCCATGGACCCTGATTCAGTGTTAAACTGTTAAAAAATTGCTTAACACTGAATGGAGGGGTAGCACCAGGGAACTCCAAGCACCAGGGAACTCCAATGAAATAAAGTGGTTATAGTGTACCTTTAAGTATTGATATCAATATCTGAACAAGCATAATAATATGAAATTTGGTCACGGATAACTCTATACCAATCCCCTTTGCATTACAATAGGTTAATTACAGATATCAAGATCTGATCAAATTATGGTGGAAGGGCCTTGTGAAGACCTCCCATTGTCTTTCCCATATAGGTGATGGTCCCCATTGGCCGAACTCTAGAAACCAACAACCCCGATAGTTCTCGGTGGATTTAACAGAGATCTCTTTAAGAAGTTGGAACATACTTGTGGATAAACACGGATTTCATCCCTAGCGAACGAGCAATAGCACATGCGTGCTGACCCCCAGCACCCCCAAAGCAGGACAACACATGGCGGGATGTGTCATGACCTCTGGCCTGGGAAAAAAAAAGTTATTACAAAATAACATTATGGACAAAAAAATTACTTTATTATAAAAATTGGTTAAATACAAGAGTTCGGGCTCAGATTGTCGCAAGGGTTTACATAAAAGGCGTCCACAGCAGAATCTATGATAAAATCATTGTTTAAGTGATAGTAAGTGAGTGCTCTCTGCAAGTTCCAAAGGACAGGCTATGTTTCCAGTGTGCATGTCCATGCTTTCACTATATAATCCCAGAAATATGATGCAGTGAACCATAGAAACATAGAATGTGATGGCAGAATTTGGCCCAAATTTCTAAATACTTTCATTAGTCCCTGGCCTTATCTTATAGTTAGGATAGCCTTATGCCTATCCCACGCATGCTTAAACTCCTTTACTGTGTTAACCTCTACCACTTCAGCTGGAAGGCTATTCCATGCATCCACTAAAAAAAACATAGAATGTGACGGCAGATAAGAACCATTCGGCCCATCTAGTCTGCCCAATTTTCTAAATACTCTCATTAGTCCCTGGCCTTATCTTATAGTTAGGATAGCCTTATGCCTATCCCACGCATGCTTAAACTCCCTCACTAAGTTTTATCCTGCAATCCATCAACCAGTTATAACCCGATATAAAGACTTTCAGAGTTATTCACCAAAGTGAGAATTCAAAGTAAATTTCAAACATAAGATGTGCTTTCAGTTTGGCTACTCTGGCCTTAAATGTAAAATTCCCTTTAAATGTACTTTGAATTCTCACATTTCTCGGTCACTGTGGTAACTGCTAATCTCAGTTTATTTAGTGTGGGAAATTATATATTTTTTAATCTAATAGCAAAAATATATAATGCAAGATAAATAAAATTCTGACTTTGGAAACCTGGATTATTTCGTCTGTATCTCATATAACAGAAAATATGGAAATTCCGATTCAGAGTATTGAAACCTGCCCACGTTACCTGGGTGAGCGACCTGATTGGCCGACACATGGCTTCATTGGCTACTCTAATAAAACCCATAGCCACTTCCTCTACAGTCAGAGACTCTCCTGTACCCATCCTTTCAGACTGGAAGAGGTTAATTTCAGCCGTGAGTTCCTGAAACATACGCAACGTGTCATCTTTGGAAAGCGACTGGTCCTCTGAAGGGCCGAAGATTCTGGGAAAGTAATCTGGAAGGAGTCGGCCCAGGCACAGATTGGCATCAGTGACGGTTAAAGGGCCTCCTGGAATGATTGATAGGAAGATTGATAAATAAACAAATTAAGGTTCCTTCCAGAATACAATTATATAAAAAAAAAAAAACAACTACTGTATATAAAACAAACAAAAAAAATTAAATAAATCCATTACCTTTTCTGTAACAAGCTGGGCCAGGGTGAGCACCTGCTGATTCAGGGCCAACCACAAACAATCCTGATCTGTAATTTCAATATTGAGTCATTATAATCATACACAGCTAGTTCACAGCTCCTGACACATGTAAACCTTCCCCTATCAATATGTAGGTCAAAGCCTGGACTCTGATCTTAGCACCCGATAGATAACAGAGAACTCCTACTTAACAACTTCTATTCCTATATTTTATCTTCCTTTACTCCCAAAAATCCCACCAATTATCCCAACAGAAATAATGATGGTATCACTGCCCTGCGTCATGTACTATTATACCTGCCCAAAGCAGACACATTATTCTCCTTAACTGGTTACCTCCAGTTTAAAGCGGACATTAAAAGGGAAATTCTGGGGTTGGCACCACAGAGGGTGGTAGCCTATTAGTAGCTCCCTATTCACAAACCAAGTGAGAAACATAAATATTTAGTTTCACTCACTTTTGTGAATTTGGAGCCATTGATCGGTTGAGAGCGCCTAGATGAAGGCTTCCTTTTTAAACCCTCAGAGGATTAAACAAAGTGCCGGGGCATAACTTTAACTTCGGATTAAAATGTTCATTAAAAGGTTTATCCCCTCGAGGTAAGTCAGAATTTGAGACTTTTTCATTCTGGTGAAGTTGTTAATGAGACTAGAGTGTTCCTTTAACATCGCTCTTCCTACACAGCTTTTACATGAGTCCGCCTTTTTAATACCTAAAGAGAAAGCTTTCACAAAATCCCTGTAACCCCCCCCACCTGAAGAAGAGCATGGAGCCTCCTCCTGCAGCCACCGTGTTCACATCCAGCTGTGGGGCTTGGATACTGATTCCAGCTGTTATGGCTTCAAACACATGTTCATATTCTCCGGCATATCTGCTGACGTCTGTGGACGTTCCTGCGAGTGTGAAGGAGACATTGTAAAAGAAAAAAATGATTGGAATTGCATAAACCAGAGATAGCAGAGCTGGTAAGTGTGCTATTGCAGTATCTCTAGAAACAAACCCCAGGCTTGTGATTTCAACCGCAGTATAGCCTCTCACCCAGCCATTAAACAAACATCCCTCAAAAGGCCAGTCTTGCCCACAAGGTTATTATTATAGTGCCACCATATTCTGCAGCACTTTACAATTATAAAATTGGGATATTTGACATGTGGTTGACATACAGAATATACCATTAGACAAGAGGTGAAGAAGACCCTGCACAGATATGCGTACAGTCTATAAAAAAGGGGTAAAGACAAAAAAAGAGAAATAACAGCATGTCAGAGGGGGTAGGGGTTGATGGATAAGATACCTGTGTCAAAATAAGCTGGTAACAAGTGTAGAGTGGAATGAGAGAGTGACCTGGGATAAGGAAGCAAGGGAACCGAGGGTCAATTGTAATGAGAGAAGGGTCACCCAGGAAGATTCTCCTAAACAAGTCTTTGACTTCTTATAGGATTGGAGGCTAGAGGACAGTCTGATGGCAATATCAAGTAGTAGGTAAACATAGGAACACAGGTTTGAAACACATATCCACCTACCTCAAATCCTCCTAGATTGAAAGCTCATTTGAGCAGGAACATCTTCACCTCTAAATTTTTTCTATGATTAATAATGTAATTAAAAAGTGATAAGGATTATGCTGATACTAAATAAACTATAATCGTGTGTCATTTGGGTTTGTGCAGTTTATTTTACAACCACTAGATGGAAGCACCTTGCATTTTTCTATTTTTAAATATTATGATGAGTGCAACCTCATGTGATACCCCTGTGAATTAATTCTGTGATAGATACAGGGGTGCTGCAAGGTTCCAGAAACACTTCAAGCTTGAACCTTAAGGAAAATTGAATGGACAATACTCTAATAGAGTGGAGGGCAATGGCATACCATGCCATCTCCCCACCTTTCTATATTATTTGCTCTCTGGGATATCAATGAAAGCACAGTCAGAAACAAGCACATGTTGCTCCGCACGGTATTCAATGCAATCACCACACTACCTAACTAGTAGACAGTTGGAGCTCTATACTACTATGCTGCATTCTTATAACAGACTGCAGCTTTGAGAACTACCGGATGGAAAATTAAAACACAAATTTAACTTGGGTGTCAATAAATATCAGCACCATTAATGTAACAATACTACCAGGTGTGTGACTAGTTAATTACTCAATGGAATTTTATTTACAATAAAATAAAACTTCATTTTAGGAACTTACAAAAACACCCACACTATTCATTCCTCACCTCCCATATCAAAACCAATGACAGGTTGTGGGTGATCATGATTATAGGTGGTGATAGCGTAACCAACAACGCCCCCTGCTGGACCCGAGAGGATAGCGCGAGACCCACTGAAGCTGTGCATTGGTGTCAGCCCCCCATCTGATTGCATGAAGAGCACTTGCAAATCCTGTGGAAGAAAAATACTTTCAGGCTGTTGAATAAAGAACCTGCTTTGGCAGGCAGTGCACTGTTAATTCAAACCATAACCAAGTTAATTAATAATATACCGTGACATTGGCTTTGAGGTATATGATCTATTCTGCCTGGTCTCAGTGTGAAAATCCCTTTATTGGGGGTCTCATTGCCCGTTATGAAACAGAACATTGGGAGAGATGGATACAATCTGGTTTGTATGTTGTGTTAGCCCTATAGAGAGTAAAAGCTACAGTATGTATAACTTATTTACGATATCACACAAAGGAACACAAATCAACGCAGGAAAAAATGGCAAGAAGAAAGTATTATCATCACGTGGCAGGAACTCATTCCAGAAAAGCATGCAGACATAGTCAACCATTTCTGTTTGTTGTTAAAATCCAACATCAGAATGGGGAATAAATGTGGTCGAAGTGATATTTAAAGGTAATAGCTCAGCAACATGACCGCTTCAGGGACTTGAAGTTGTCATGGTGCCTGGAGTTTGTATGTGCAGCGTCTGGCTATGGACCGATGCACATGTGGAGATTTATACTACAGTAGTGGTTATGGTGCTTTGCGTAACCCTTACTATCCTGGTCTTCTCCCCAAAAAATGAAAAGAAAATTGGTAAAACTAACCTCGGTTTTATTGTCAATTTCTCCCTCAGCCCGATCCTCCATCGCTAACATCACTCCCCCTCTAGGAATGCCTGTCAGGGAGGGCAGACTGAGGGGAGGATATGGAAGCATGAAGAAGGGTGCTGCCATTGGCTGTCTGTTGACAGCATGCTGTGCATGTGGATGGCAGGCGCCAAACATGCACAAAATTAACTGGGATAACTGAAAGTCCTTGCCTCTTACCTTTAGCCGATTTTGAAATCCATTGCTGAACCCATCCAGATATCTTTGTATGCAGGGGGTGAGATATGCATCAGCACAGGCTGTATACCCACGGGGGACCATGCGAATCATTGGCATCACCTCTGAAGACAGCGACACATGGGTAAATCCCAAAGAACGGGCCAGCTCTCCTATCTGATGCTCATGTTCCGACCACCTAAGATATTTTAGCATCTCGTCTCATAAGTGTAATACTCCAATTCAAAAACGTTTTAATAACCACTGAAACCACTATTCTCATAACACTAGAGGGCTATGTATCCTTAAAGCTGTTGAGTAGTTTCACAGTTGGCGCATTTAGAAAAAACTTATTTTTCAGACCATTAGTAACAAAGTATTTGAATGAATTGGCTGCATATTCACTAGCTTTTAGCTGACCGCGTATGATAATAACATTAGCTACTCAAGTCAAGATTAGTTGTAGAATGACAAGATTCTATTTAAAGTGATCCAGGGCCTTGGTGTTAGAGAGATACTAAATAAGCAAATAAGGGTAAAGTAGAGCTCAAGCCTCATGGATGTTAAAGCTATGGCAGAGACTGACATTAAATACAGATTCACTTGTATATTCAGATCGATATTCTCACGTGTAAGAATGCATGAGGACGACAGCCAGGCTCCGTATCCCACGGGACAGCACACCCAGCAGCTCGACCTTCAACTGCTCCAGGTTGACCGGTTCCCAAACTTCCAATGAATCTCCTGTGGAACCTAAACATAGGAATTTCCATGACTTCCATGCAGAACGGTAAATTGAGAATATATTTACTGTAGTGATGTCTTAGGGGAGGGATTTATAACATATAAAGGAACTATACCATAGAATAATGGAGCAGTCACCATGGAAACCAAGGGAAAACTTCTGTAGTTTGCATTGTAATTGCCCACTTTTAGGGTTTTGAGCCAATTTTCCCTTTATATTTATAAATTCCCCATTTTGTGATTGTGGATCTCTGTATAAAAATATTGGACTTCAGTGAAGACCTTTAACTCTAGGATTGGGCTTTTCTTGTGAATAATACTTTCTACAATGTATACCCAACAAACATGCAAGTAAATCCAGAACAAACCATATATCAATAATTGAAAGACAGGAATACCTGTCCTGACAGTAAGTCAGGATCCAGTTGCCTCTGACCTTTTAGAAATCACTTAAATAAAAGCTGACTAAGCTAGTACCGCTACTCACCTACAAAAGATTTTATGCATGGGTCCTTGGGGAGACCACAGTCTTCACGCTGCAGGACAACTCGTTCCTGTACCTCAATAACCTCCTCATAGAGAACGTCGGGCATTTGGATTTCCTGAGGACAGAGGACCACTAGTTGACACGGAGGATGATTTGCAAACACTGTAGCACTGTGATGACAGCTGTCATCGTGTTATATTCACAGTGACAAATAATAAAGTGATGGTTCAGCTTGTCAAAGAGGTTTTATTCTTCATTGTTAAGCATTTCGTACAAGACTTGTATAACTCTTAATTACCTTCTGGTGTTTGTTTGTCTGTTTTAATGAAGATTGAATATCTCATGGTCAGGCTCTAAAACAGCCACCCAACAGCTAATTAGCTGAATTGGAGGAACGTCAGGTTCTGCTTGTGTCAATCACATGGATACTAATCTATAGTAGGCTAGAGAGTGTTTTTTTTTTTGTTTTTTGTTTTTTTAATTGGTTTCTCCTAAGTCACTAAAGTGGTTAGATTTACACCATAAAAATGTAAAAGTGATCCTGGAAGGAAGGGCACATCTAAAGATCCAGCAGGTGTGGATTACAGCTGTCACACACATATACACAACAGGACTGCACAAAGGAACCTAAATTCCACAGTATTATATGGTTCTGTGAAGAGAAGTAGATTTGTGTCAATACAAAGAAGAGTTATTGTTAAGTATCATCTAAATGTTAGTTTCATTTTATGGCACATCTAAAGTATGTAACAAAATACACATTTGTCCTCCTGCAGGAATTATATTGATCCTGTTGGATGGGATACAAGACAAGATATGTGACAGCTGACATGCATAGTACCTTACAATGGTCTCCATTTAAGTTTTTGGGATAAGCTCTTCATAGGATTTGAAATTTGTTGATAAACATTTATAATAATATATTGAAAGCAATTTTATTATATGTATATATGTGTGGCAGAACCCCTGCCTGTTCCTGGATTCCTTTTTATATTAGGTGTATGTTTTCGTGTAATGTGCCCATTTCCCATTTGGAGTGCTTCCACAAAGGGAATCCATTCCCATCCCGAACAGGGACCACCCCGATATCTCATTCAGAATGTTAGGTTAGAATGTTCTCACCTCGTCACATAAGTGGCAAACCGCAAGGGAAACAATTAATAAGCACTTCCTGGGTGGCCGCCATTTCGTTAGATGAACACCAACCAGGGGAAGCGTTCACGGGTTGTTTCCCGGCCTGTTCATGCCCCGAACAAGGACCTCCCCAGTGCCCCATTAGAACGTTCGCACAAATTAATCAGAACGTTCGCACTTGCAACATAGTTGTGAAACAGCAAGGGAAGTATTTCATGAATACTCCCCTGGGTGAATGCCATTGGTACCGACAAACATCGGCCAGGGGGAGCATTCATACCACGAAAGGAGACGCTTCCCTTGTTTGGGGTTCACACTGGGACCTCACGAACGGAGGTTAATCGAAAGAGGAGCCGTTGTGCGGGTCTCTGGGATTGGTGTGGACCCTTTTGGGGCACTGGCTAGTTTGGCGGGCTTTCCTGTACCTGAGGAGACAAAGGGATGGTCCCCTTTTCCTGCGCCTGGACTCCCAGGCACAGAGGCACCCAGAGTCTGGTGTTGTACCTCCAGAACTCTGTCTCGTCCAGTTACTGGGGGGGCGGGGGAAATGGGTCTCGTATTCTAAGGGGTTCCTGAATGGCTGAAGGAAGGGAATTAGTGGAGGTAACCGGTCAGAATACCCGGGGTCAGCTACAATATGTATGTGTATAATCACAAACACATACACACTAAAGTGTAAAGCAATTGTAAAACACAACCACTGTGACAATGGTGCACATTGGCAGATGCTACAATCTGTCACTTTCTTACATCATCCCACATTCCAAAATGTAACATACATGCAGATTTAGTTCCAAATCAAGAACTAATTTCAGAACAAAAAAAAAGGAGATAAGCAAAAAACCACAAATAAACAGTTGTTTTTTTGTGGCAGTGTGTACCCAGTTCACTAAAAGTCCCTATCAAGAAATAAGGAAACTACAGTTGAGAAATCCTCACAGGGTCGCCAGGATTTGTCGAAGGACAGGAGTGTTTTTCTAACTTGGACGGTAAGTTTACCCATCAAGTGGTCATCTTTGATTTTAAGTCAAACCATCTCCATGGCCTTTAGCCATTGTTGCACTTTCTCTATCCTGACTGCTAATGTTATTTTAGGGCAGAACCCCCTTATGTGTCCATAGATGCCACGGTCTTCACAGACCTCCACTAATATTGGCACTCTTGGTAAATATGAGCAAAGTAGGTTGTAAAAAATTGTCTTTATTGTTTAACCTTTAGATCGTTTGTTAAAAAAATAAATAAAATAAAAAAAAATACACAAAAACACTCTCATGGATCGGAAACAACTGCAAACACAACACAGGTTTATAAAAAATAAAAAAATCTTCGTTAAATATGTGTGGCACAATTATTGGCACTCCTATGAATTCACATGAGAAAACTATATTTGATTCCCATTGATATTTTAAATTTTTTTTTAGAATATCTGGGTCACTAGGAACAGGAAATTGTGCAACCATGACTTCCTGTTTCACAGGGGTATAAATAGGAGATAACACATAGGCCAAATTCCCTTAGTCATTCATCACAATGGGTAAGATTAAAGGATGTAACTGTGATGTGCATCAAAAGGTTGTTGAGCTTCACAAAATTTGAAGTGACTATCAGAAAATAACAGAAGCATTGAAAATGACAATTTCCGCCATTATGGCAATAATAAGAAGTTCCAGTCAGCTGGAAATGTTATGAATCAACCTGGAAGAGGACGTGTGTCTATATTGTCTCAACGCAATGAATAATGATGGTTCAAGTGGCCAAAAAATCTCCAAGGAGATTTGCAGCTGGAGAATTGCAGAGGTTAATTGCATCTACAATCCAACGTCACCTACATCACCACAAGTTGTTTGGAAGGGTGTGGCGGAACCAGCCTCGCCACTAGGCATTGGAGAAGACAGATTGCCAGCCTCCTGCCCTGTGACTATGGCCCCATGTTGAAATGCTTGATTTTCCCCTGCAAAGACCCGAAAGCCGGGTCATTCGGTACTTTCCCTATTTGAACAGTGATACCCCAGATAGCTATGCCACGGAGCCCATTCGTATAACGAAAGACTATGTGAAAGACTTTGGCTCCATGGCAATTGAACTGTATGTATGTGATTCAGTAATAATGTGCGCTCAGATCTAAGCTATCTGGGGATATGTATGAATATATGAATGTACCTGTTTTATGCAATAGCTGCACAGTTATATATATTTGTGTATTTTATTGTATTTTACGGTCTTTTGCTACCATGTGGCTAATGGAGTTTTGCCTCTTTCCTTGGAGATAATTGGATTACTTCCCAATTATCTCCAGGATAGAAGACTCTGTGGAACCGGTTTTGGGCAGAAAAGTCATGCTTCATTTGTTCAGGACTTGGATCTAACTTTTGACCCACTGGACCAATTTGTATGATTTTGACGTAGGTTTGTATTTGGAGTATGCTGATTCTGAAAATGTAAATGTGAATGTGATGCATACTTTTAAAGTTATGAATATTGTGTAAAACTGTATTTTCCTGCCTGTGATAATTACATTAACCCATTGTGTAAGGTAATTGTATCACAGGCAGAGGGGAGGATTTTGTGTGGGAGTGTCTGAGTGTATTGTATGTGTTTATTGGTTGTTTTACAAAACCCTGTGGGTGGTACTAATGTGTAAGAATGTGTATAAGAACAATAAACCCACGGCTCTGGCAGTTCTACTTCACCCTCAATTTGGAGTGCCGTCTCTTATTGGGGGAATCTGCTACGAGGGATTGCTATGCTAGTCATACTCCCTTGCTGTATCACTACTAAGCTCTTGTAAGAGCTTGTCCCTGTCTTGCTCTCTGAAGGAGTCTATGGTGGTTATGGTGTCTGCTGGAGTGCTGGAAACCCTCAGGAAGCGCTAGGAGCATCCTTCAACGGAGATACCCGGTTGGGGTGCCAGTCAATCCGTTACAAAGGGTTTCAAGAAAAAAGCCTTTACTCTCATCCAAAAACAAATTCAACCAACTTTAGTTTGCCAGACTATACTGGAAGTTCAAAATGGGATCGGCTTCTATGGTCAGACAAAACCGAAATAGAGCTCTTTGGCAGTAAACACCAGAGGTGAGTTTGATGCACACAAAGGGATAGCCATATGGAAAAGTACCTCATGTCCATGGTTAAATATGGTGATAGTCCTTTAATGTTTTGGGGCTGTTTTTCTAACAGATGACTTGGACATTTTGTTAGGATAAAAATGGCATTATGGACTCTAAATAAATACCTGACTACCTCTGCCAGAAACCTTAAAATGGGCCGTGGTTGGATATTCCAGCTGGACAAAAATGGTTTACTGATCACAAAATCAATATCCTGGAATGGCCATCCCAGTCCCCTTACTTGAACCCCACAGAAAACCATGAAATGAAGAGGAGAGGCCACCAGCATCAATGAAGGGGAGACTATAGTCACCAGAACAACTACATCTTAATGTAGTTGTTCTGGTGAGTATAATCATTGCCTTTGGGCATTTTGATGCAAACACTGCCTTTTCAGAGAACAGGCAGTGTTTACATTGCCTCTAGGGACACCTCCAAGCGGCCACTCCTCAGATGGCCACTGGAGGAGCTTCCCGGCTCAGTGCTGCACAGTAGGCAGCTCTGCCGTTCAGCGTCCCCACGCTCTGCATGGGGATGCTGAATTTTCCTCAAAGAGATGCATTGATTCAATGAATCTCTATAAGGAGGTGCTGAACAGCCAAGATGGCCCCCTTGACGATTTTAGCCAATCCAATGTTTTCCGCATGGGAAAGCATTGGATTGGCTAAAAATAGGCAATTCATATGATGTCACCAGGAGGGCGGGGTCAGTTCCGGCAGACCCGCACGGCGCTGGATATAAGGTGAGTTTTTCATGCTTTTAAGGGGGGCAAGCCACCTAATGGTGGGTTTTGCACTAAAGGGTCAGGAATACATGTTTGTGTTCCTGACCCTATAGTGTTCCTTTAAATTTTAAGGATCTGGAGAGATTCTGTATGGAGGAAATGTCTCAGACCCTTTGCCATGTATTCTCAAAACTCATCAGGATTCATAGGAGAAGATTCAAAGCGGTTTTCTTGACAAAGGACAATAGTGCAAAGGCGCCACAAATATAGACTGTTGTTTTTATTGGTAAACCTGTGTTTTTTGTTTGCAATTGTTTGATATCCATGAAAGTAGAGCTTAAAATAAATAGTAAAGGGTGATTAGCTGCTCTAACTCCTCCTTCAAGCCTAGTGAATATGGTAGCTGACTGTATCTAAACACATCCAATTTTCTATTTACAGTTTTTGCTACATAATATGCTTAAACACAGTGATTAGTAACATACCAGGTCAAAGATCTTTGGTCGAGACTGGTTCCCGATATGGAGAAGGTCCCGAAAGCCACGGGTAATGAGCAGTGCAATACGTTCCCCTTTCCTCTCCAATAAGGCATTGGTAGCTACAGTGGTTCCCATCCTTATCCATTCTATGAGGTTGGTATTGAGTGGGCAATCACGTGGGAATGCAAGCTTGGTTTCCTTTGGTATACAGAACTACAAAGTCAGTGGAGGAATATTATATAGACAAAACACTCATCACCCACTGAATCACTTACTAACAAAGTCAGTCACAGAGTGAGATGTACCAACAATCCATGCCAGGCTCTACCACTTTGTCAGATACACTGTCAGATAAAAGGACTAACTCTCACTACAATTACACTTATTCAGATCGCCGGTAAAACTATGTCTTTAGAATCTTTTATTTAATTACCAGCTATGTAACTTCATAATTGGAAAGAACGTGCAATTTCCACACCAAAATAGCCAGTTGGAAAAACTCCCATTGACAATTTTAAAAATGTGGCTATTTGGGAATAACATTTTCCTTGTAAATTCTTCATATATACAAGTTTTCTGAATAGCTCCTGTTAGTAATAAAACTCCAACAGTCAAAAAGAGCGCACACTTGGGAAAAAGTGGGTAAAAGAGAGGAAAGAAAGTAATGTAAAATGTTTGGTTTTCAGGACAAATACCAGAATAGCCCACTTGTTACCATTATTGAGATTAACAAACCATTATAGGAATCCCTATGGCCGAGGTATCTCAAACTCTGGCCCTCCAGTTGTTGCCAAACTACAATTCCTAAGACTCTCTGGCTATCTATTGCATTCCTATTTTTATAGGAGTTGCAGGCCATCAACATCTGGGGAATTAAAGTTTGAGATCCCTACTGTAGTCCCTGTGTCTCGTACCTCCTCCAAGATCCGACGTATACCCTCTGTAGGGGCATCTTTATAGTTTGCCGGATCCTCGGACAGCAACTTCATTATACGAACTTTCCCCCCAGGGCACCGAGCAAAGACATCTGTGAACGTACCACCTCGATCTATGGCAAACTGGAACTTGTGTGGACCGTCCATGGTCACAGATCTCTGTATGGTGAGAAAAACAAATTATGGAGCATGAACGATCAGATGGAACATTTACATACTTATAGATCGGGTTTTATATAATTAAAAATATTAAAAAGCATTGCCAAACAGAACATTAGCATGCAGCCTATGAATAAGGATCATGGATTAATACCCTGGGCATTTGTGTCTGATTTACTCACAGCATAGCATCCAACAGTCTCAGATCTGCTGTAGGAGCATTGCGAATATAGATAATGCAAAATGAACCACAATTAAAAATATTACAGTATTAAAACTAAACAATTGAAGTTATAGTTCATTGATTTTTTTATTTAATATTAGTTTTCATTTGATATAGAGCAGATATATGATATGCATTGTGAGTATATACACATTAATGCACTATAACTTTAAATTGTTTAATATTGACACTGTATTTTTTTTACATTGTGCAATATATATGTTTTCATTAATTTTCCATTTATATAGATTCACAATACTCTTACATATTAATTAAATACAGTTTGGCTCATTTGGCACTATCACTATATAATTCGTCTCCTACATTGGTATTAGGACCCACCGATATTGTAGTACTGTTAAGTGGTGGTGGGCTTCAAAGGACACTGTAGGCACCCAGACCACTTCAGTTCATTGCAATGGTCTGGGTGCAATGTTCCATGTCCCTTAACCCTACAGTGTTAATTATTGCAGTTTCTGAGAAACTGTAATAATTACCTCTGAGGGTTAACGCCTCCTCTAGGCTGTCTACCAGACAGCCACTTGAGAGACTTCCAGAACTGACCTTCAGCATCAGATTTTTCCCCATAGGAAAAGCACTGAATAATGCTTTCCTATGGGGAAGTCCTAATGCGAGTGCGGTCATTGCTGAGGGTCATCAGCGCTGGATTCAGGTAAGTGACTGAAGGGGGAAAAGGCGGTGGGAGGGAGAGCGCTGTAGGATTCTATAGTGCCAAGAAAACAGCTTTGTTTTCCTGGCACTATAGAATCACTATAACAAAATATGACCATATGGTGGAATTGAATCCCCATATTGGTTTGTGGAGATAAGTGATTTTAAGTAGTCTTATAACATTTTAACTGCATTGATGTGTGTGCACTGTTCCTTAATCTGTATTATGAATAAAATCAGGAATGCCGGTTTGAGTGAAACGATTTAAAGGAGCATTCTGCTTTAATCACACATCATAAATGCTGACATTCTTCAGACTAATTATTAACCCAGTCTGCACGGAGTCCCATTAGAAATCAGATGTCTGCTTCGTAATTTCAGAAATGAAGTAGGTTTGGGTGTAGATTGAGATCATAACTACTACAGTGCACTGTATTGGTTTTGTTGCCAAAACTCCCCTTTGTGACATGCCGTGGTAACACTTGTAAACTAAAGTGGAAGTATGAGACATAATATGAATTCTTCATTCTGTTGGAGAGGGTTCGAAGGTGCTGTCTGACTGTATGTGAAATTCATAATCTCCAAATACGTTCTTCATGACTAGAATCATTGCCGTGATTTGTAGATTAGGTTCAAACCAGAAGCCTATGAATTTCATCTCCTGCTGGGTAGCACTTTCTGTCATTGTCCCGAAAAATAAAGAATTCATAAACAGCTCCCTCTCTGCAAAAATTGAAGAGCTGACAGACTTATGTGAATACACAAAGCTAAACAGATCACATGGGATTACTACATTACATTATTATATAGATTTGTTTTCTAAACTCTATGCCTCGGTGAACACTTGGGAACATGTTTTGGGCAGATCCCTGCATCACCACAACTCACGCAATTAATTTGTGAGTAATTAACCCATCAGTGCTGACACAATGATCAAAGGTAAAACAAGGACCAACTGTAAGAGGACCTTCAAAAATCAACCTTTTGACTGTCTCGTGACTGTGATTTAAATGGTGAAACATTTCACAGCTACAGATTCAATGTGTTTATACTTTATGGGGCTCGGCTGTGTTACTGAGGTTTACGTTCTCTGCTCTGAAAGAGTAATGCACATTATATATGTTGTAGCTTAAATTAAAGCAGATTAGGTTTTATTCCGTTCTCCAGCGCCCTCTCACTCCATCAAAGCCTAGCAAGATGCGGTCAGTGTTCCCAGCAACTAGCTATATTTATATCATGCTATGTATACTCCTTTTATTTTATGCCTGGGGCAGGGACCCCCATCCAAATGTAGCCATATGTACTACAACCCTAATATAATTAGTATATCAGTATGTATGGTCCTTCGCTATAACTATTATACATACAATATAACTACACTTACTGTATCTTCCTCTACTGCAATTTACATCTGTAAGAGCTATATAAATATACACACACAGTATACCTACTGTACCTCCCTCTACTGTAATGTAACCTGTAAAGTGCTGAGTACACCTGTTAGCGCTGTATAAATAATATATACATACACTGTATACCTACTGTACTTACTGTATCTCCCTCTACTGTAATGTAACCTGTAAAGTGCTGAGTACACCTGTTAGCGCTATATAAATAAAATATACATACACTGTATACCTACTGCACTTACTGTACCTCCCTCTACTGTAATGTAACCTGTAAAGTGCTGAGTACACCTGTTAGAGCTATATAAATACAATATACATATACTGTATACCTACTGCACTTACTGTACCTCCCTCTACTGTAATGTAACCTGGAAAGTGTTGAGTACACATGTTAGCGCTATATACATATAATATACATACACTGTATACCCACTGCACTTACTGTACCTCCCTTCTGTAATATAACCAGTAAAGTGCCCCTAAATATTAAAATATAGCTTTTAATAGTATAGTTAAAATAAATGGAGTATATGCTATAAATTTGAAAAGAGAAAATAATGATTATATTTACAGAATAAACCATAAAAGTTACAATTCTCAAGGGAAAACCAACTCACACTGAATATAACTATAATCAAAGGGATAATGAAGTCCTGTTCAAAAGTTTTCAGGATCCTTCTCCTAGTAATATGCAAAAACCAGCGGTTTTTACAATGAAATTGTATACAAAAAAAAGTATACAAGGAGAGTTGTGTCCCAAAAGTCCAAATAAACTACATACAATGGTGAATAGATCGCAAAGCTATGTGAAGATAGCACAGGGATACCTGTATCTAATATAAATGTAACAGTAGATTACCAAAAAAGAAACTTCTGGTTACATATGACAGCGTATAGTATTCACTGCATCCAAACAAGCTCAGAATAAATATGGGAATAGTGCTGACAAAAAGCCTGTATCTAGCACAATTAGATATTCACATTCACAGTGCTTTTTGGTCAAAGAAAAAAAGGGGGGGGGGGGCAGAGGAGAAGGCAGTGTGTTTATAATAGTGCAAGAAAAAATATGTGCACTGATTAAAAAAGAAAAACTCCTACTGCAATGAAAAAGGGGGGAGTAATGCCTAAATAAATTAGGTGTCTGGTCCAAATAAACCCCCAAATTTTGAGATCGGAGTGGGGCTTGGGATCACACAGTCAGTGCAAAAATAAATTGTGCGTTCTGGTCTTAGCACCAACTAATATTGTGCTCGTCTGAGGCTGTGATATCACAGCCCTCAATATTATATATATATTAATAGGGCTGAATTAAAATCATATGAAGATCCTTTCTTATCATCTTTCCAACCCTGAAGGGGTTAAATGGATTCAAGACTAGGGCTCGGGTGTATTTGTTACACCGAGTTACGTCATACCCCAGTCCTCCTCTGATTGGTTAATAATGGTATGACTCTTTTCAAACTGACCAATAAGAACTGTTCACTTACCTTTATATATCGGTTTTCTCCCCACACATCGGTTCCCCTCTGATGAGCTGCGGGCGAAACGCGCGCGTCAGGGGCTAAGGGGCTCCCAAGGGATCCTGAGATGAGCACAATATTAGTTTTTGCACTGACCGTGTGATCCCGAGCCCCACTCCGATCTCAACATTTAGGCATTACTTCCCCCTTTTTCGTTGCAGTAGGAGGTTTTCTTTTTTAATCAGTGCACATATTTTTTCTTGCACTATTATAAACACACTGCCTTCTCCTCTGCCCCCCCCCCCCTTTTTTTCTTTGACCAAAAAGCACTGTGAATGTGAATATCTAATTGTGCTAGATACAGGCTTTTTGTCAGCACTATTCCCATATTTATTCTGAGCTTGTTTGGATGCAGTGAATACTATACGCTGTCATATGTAACCATAAGCTTCTTTTTTGGTAATCTACTGTTACATTTATATTAGATACAGGTATCCCTGTGCTATCTTCACATAGCTTTGCAATCTAATCACCATTGTATGTAGTTTATTTGGACTTTTGGGACACAACTCACCTTGTATACTTTGTTTTGTATACAATTTCATTGTAAAAACCGCAGGTTTTTGCATATTACTAGGAGAAGGATCCTGAAAACTTTTGAACAGGACTTCATTATCCCTTTGATTATAGTTATATTCAGTGTGAGTTGGTTTTCCCTTTAGAATTGTAACTTTTATGGTTTATTCTGTAAATATAATTATTATTTTCTCTTTTAAAATTTATAGCATATACTCCATTTATTTTAACTATACTATTAAAAGCTATATTTTAATATTTAGGGGCACTCACTGTCTTTTTCTCCTTGTCTCCACTACTGCTGTAGTTTCCAAAGGGTTAACCCCTATATGAGTGTATCCCCTTGCTTCCAAATTCCTCTTTTTATTTTATAACCAGTAAAGTGCTGAGTACACATGTTAGCGCTATATAAATATACATACACTGTATACCTACTGCACCTCCCTCTACTGTAATGTAACCTGTAAAGTGCTGAGTACACATGTTAGCGCTATATAAATATGCATACACTGTATACCTACTGCACTTACTGTACCTCCCTCTACTGTAATGTAACCTGTAAAGTGCTGAGTACACATGTTAGCGCTATATAAATATACATACACTGTATACCTACTGCACTTACTGTACCTCCCTCTACTGCAATGTAACCTGTAAAGAGCTGAGTACACCTGTCAGTGCAGTATACAATATACCTACATTTTCACGCTAAAGTCTGTGCTGCACTGTGGTTACAATGTAGACAACAAGTGATTACACACAGAGCCACACATTTCAGATAAATTCACTAAATGCAAAGGAGGAGTTAAAGAGCATGACAATGGAACACAGAGACCACGTCTCCTGCTCTAGACATGTCTCTTCGTGGCTCCTTTAATCCTGCACTGTGTCCCTGCTCTCACCTGGTCTCTTCAGGATGCAGGCTTTTCAAGGTCACGGAGCTGGTGTGGCGATGGTCTCACGGTGTAGCTAAAGACAATTCCAATAACTCCTGCAAAGAAAATCCAGGGAAATAAGTAGAGGTGTCAATAGTACCCACAATGTGCCTCTCTCTGCTCACTATGTCTATAAACCCCGCTGTGCAATTATACTTATTAGGCAGCATATGTGTTTCAAGCACTGCCTGCTAGTGCGAAGTGCCTTAGGCACTGGAATAAATAACACGCCAGACATGTACATCTAGTTATCCTAGCCGGAGGAAACAGACAGACAGACAGATAGACAGACAGATAGACAGAGTCTGACCAGCAGGCACTGTGTCCCAAGACTGAGTGATCTCTCTCTCTGATAAACCAGCTTCTACACATGTAAATGTCTCAGGCACTGAAAGAGTTAACCATTTATCCAGGGCCACATTCCATTCCCAGGTTTCTCGACACGCCTCATGGTCAACCAATCATGAAGCAATTAGGATAGGAAGGCATCTGTGATTGGCTGGATACCTGTCTTGGGACCCACCCTTTACCAAGTCATTGAAGAAAAAAAATTGTATAAGGAGCCTACCCCATCTCCCTATGGCTAAAGATGGCAAATATCTTTCTACATACACATGGGGTTAATAACGGGTGTACCCTGCAATCTAACCCATAAAATACAAGGGGGGGAATAGACTTTATGCTATAAATGTCTACCGGCTGTTTGCATTTGTTAATCCATTATATATAATATATAATGCATTGGTATACAAGAATAAACTAAGTACAAATAAAAGGTAAAAGAAATATATATTTGGGTACCTGCAGCTTCTGCACTTGCACAGACAAGCTACAACTGTAGGAATCACCTCCCAGATTGGGGAGGGACCCCATCAATCAAGTGTCAGATACTGATTTGTGGGGTCTGATCTTATCCCATAAACCTCTGTCCAGCATGGGTTTATATGTCAGTGTGTGAGTGCATAGGTGCATTTGTGGGCGTTGTTTATGTACGTAAATGCAAAGAATAAAATTGTGTGCAGCGTCAGTATATTTTAATATATTGTATTTTAAAGACACATTACTATGAGCATTATTTCTGTGAAGCTCTGTTATACAATTACACACCAACAATATGGAGCTCCTAGATAAAGAGATTAGTATAGAAAAGAGGGACAGAGGGATTTGGGCCTAAAATAGGGACTGTCCCTTCTAAATAGGGGCACTATTCTATATATCAATTACTGGTGTCCGCCATGTTATTGTGTGGCTTCACAAGGGAACCGCACAAACCATGCCTCTCCCTTCACATTCTGCATGGGAGTGCCAGGTGTCACGTGACTACATCACGTCGCCGGTCAAATTTCCCTACCCCGTTAGAAAACCCTACCCTCGTCACTTCCGGTGACGAAGCCGCACCGGAAGTGACGTTGGGACGGGGGTGTGCGCAGCCGCGCAGGCGCACACCACCTAGGTAGGGACTTTGAACAGCGAGGAGTCGCATAAAGGCGCAGTGCGCACGCGCGCCAAACTACTCCCGTCGGAGGTACAGCGCGCGTGCGCACTTGGGGACAGGGAGAGCTTCACAGACACCGCGCATGCGCACTATAGGGGTAGGGAAATCTCATGGCGATTAAGCCCTGTGAAATCTCCCTACCCCTATACTGCGCATGCGCGGACTGGACTCTGATCGTCTGAGTAAAGCTTCTCCCTGCTCCCAACACACTCAGCCATCCAAGGGGAGGGGGTACTATATTAGGGGGGGTTTCAGTGCATTATATTGGATAGTGGGGGTTTTTCTACATTATTGTATGGGGGGTCTGCGCTGTATGGGGGGTCTGCGCTGTATAGGGGGTTGCGCTGTACATAGGAGTCTGCGCTTTATGGGGGTCTGCGCAGTATATGGGGGGTCTGCGCTGTATCGGGGGTCTGCGCTGTATGGGGGGGGCAGTGTGTTAGATGGAGGGGCTGTTCGTTACATGTGGGGGGCTGTGCATTAGATGGGGAGCTGTACAGTACGTGTGGCCTGTGTGTGTTAGATGTGTACAACCCTAGTTTCACTGACAAATATTTATTTCCTAGATGATATATGCCAAAGCATGCTTTTTGCTATGAAGCCGCAGCCATCTAGTCACTCGCCAGAGAAGGATGAGAAACTGCACCCCAGCGAGAGGGACAGCCCCACATCTGCAACCAAATCCATCGGTCACCGAATTCAGTAATCTCTGTCTCTTTGTGCATTGTGTATGTACGGTACTCCCAATTCTTATATTTAATCCGGTGTGTCTCCCACAATCTTTGTGTCTGTCTGCATGCACTGTGTCTGTTATGCCAGTTACTCTAACTAGTTTATTTCTTTTTGTGTGTGTCACAGCTCTGACAAGCATGTTCTTCTATGGGACACGAAGTACATGAAGAGGAATGAAAAAGCCCATGTCTGATGCTCGTCTCCAGGGTGGAGTATTGAATTTATAACTAATGAAGTGGCATCTGACACATGACGAGCTGCTCCTGTTTGCACAGCAACTTCAACATTGTGTACTGTGATCACAGCATAGTTCAGAGGTAGGTAACCTTGGGCAGTCCAGATGCTGTGAATAACATCGACCATAATGCTGGCAAACCATTATGGGAGGTGTAGTCCAAAACATCTGGAATACCAAATGCGTGTGAATGCAAAGTATGGTGTGTATGAATGGTCAGTAACAAGGGTTGAAGCCTTGACGTGGCGTTACTGCTCACATGTGTATTCATGTGCCAATTCAACCAATGTGAGTCACTGTAATACTTATAAGGTAACCAAAAGTACTGTGATTGTGGAGAATGAAACTCCTTATCCTATGAAATCTCCTATACACTGCTGACACTGTGACCGTATCCCCTAAACACTGCTCATACTGTGACCGTATCTCCTAAACACTGCTCACACTGTGACCCTATCGCCTATACACTGCTTACACTCTGACCCTATCGCCTAAACACTGCTTACACTGTAAGCACAGACATGCTTTTAATCAAAATTGAAAGCACTAGATCATTCCTTCTGTTCTACGCCTCCAATCTTCAACATTGAAATTGTCATTTCTAATAATATAAAATAAGTAATATGCTTTCTGGTTACGATTTGGTGGGTTGTAAATATTTTTTTTATTCTTACAGTTCCAGAGGGAAGGAGCAAACCGCTTTGAGGAGTCCCTGCATAAGAGACTATTGGATACTGAAGGGCTGTACTGCAGTGTCGGCTCTAGACTTGGCGAGGCCTTAGGCGAAACTCATACATGAGACCCCACGGAGAACACCATTATTGAAGAAAAAATAGCAGTTGACTTTGTGTATAAGAAGCTGTAGATATATTGATGGTGGAGCTCAGTGGTGTATCCTGGTTTTGTGCTGACCTAGGCAGGACAAAATTCAGGCGCCCCCCTCCCCCGCCCCGCATTCTAAATACACACACACACACACACACACACACACACACAGATATGCATACATTAGCTAACAGAAACTGACACACTCACTAACAGACACAGTCAGACACACACACACACTAACAGACACACTCACACTCTCTAACAGACACACTCAAATTTTTTTTTTAATTTACACCCCCAGCCTCCTTACCTTTGCTAATGCTGGGGGGGTTCTCTATCTCTCTGGGGACTAGTGGGGCTGCCGGTCGGGCTGCTGGAGCACTTCCTCTGAGTTGTCTGCTTAGCTCCCTCACGCGCTGCATTGTGAGGCTGGGAGCCGGAATATGATGTCATGTTCAGGCTACCAGCCTCACTCTGTGGCGCGCGAGGGAGCTGAGCAGACAGCTCAGAGGAAGTGCTCCCTCGCCATGCCGCCCGCCAGCCCAGCATGTCAGTTAGCCACAAGGCTAACAAGGCATTTGCCCTGGGCATTTGGGGGCGGCAAAAAAAGCCGCCCCCAAATGCCCAGGGCAAATGCCTTGTTTGCCTCGTGGCTAAAACGTCCCTGGTGGAGCTTGCAGCACTGGATACACAGAGCTAGTCTCTGTTTACATCATTGCATTGTCTACCCGAGTGTGTGTATCTGACAGTGAGTATCCTTGTATCTGTATGTATGTTTCTCTGAGCATGTGTATGTTTGTGTACTGACTGGCCTTTGGCACTGAGTTTATAGCGAAGCTATGTTTTATGACGGTGTGTATAATGATTGCCTTTGGGGGGGTGACAGGGTGAGTAAAGGGGTAACTGTGGCAGGGTGAATGTAAAAGAGCAGGAGGGTGCCTGCGTGTTGAGGGTTGACGGTGTGCATGGAGGGAGGTGCCAGAGTGCGGAGAGTGGTGGCCGGGTGGGGAGGGTGACATAGTGTGAGAGGGAGGGTGATGAGGTGAGGGGGGAATGAGAGAGTAAGAGAGGGGTGACGTAATGTGAGAGTATGGGTGACACAGTAAGGGTGAGTGACAGTGAGGGTGGGTGACATAGTGTGAGGAGGATGACAGAGTGAGGGGGTGATGGTGAGGTGACCGTAAGAGGGGGGTGACAAGGGGTGATGAGGTGAGGTGACAGTAAGGGAGGGGTGACAATAACAATATCTGATATTAGGTCACATGTGCAATTATTATGTAATTAATGGACAACATACTTTTTAAATTTTGTTAAATAAGAAATTTAAATATTGTTTGTCTTTTTTATATTGCCACTTTAAAAAAAATTAAAACTCTTAATTTTTAAATGTACAGTAATTTGTCTGTAATAATGTTAACTTGTTAATTATTGTGGGACAGTGGAGAGCAAACCCAAACTGGGACTCTACTAAACAATCCAGGTCTGTTAGGAAATATGGCTTTGTAACAACATATGATAATTTATGGTGCATATAGGTCCTCGTGTCACTGTGCCTATGCATAGTTTTGCTTATAAATGTGATGACTTTCAAAAGATAGCAATAAGCATAGTAAGAAGTTGCTCTTTAAAAGCTTACGTCATCTCGTTTAAATGGTTTGGGTGCAGTGCCAATGTCCCCTTAATCTTGCAATGTTAAATATCGCAGTTTCTGATAAACTACAATGGAACGCAGCTAGTGATGGTATTATTTGTAGCTAAGTAACACAAATCGCATGTTAAGGTGTCAGCAAAATACTTTATTTCTTCAAAATTAATATGCATTTTAGACTTTATATGTATAGTGGAAAAAATATAAAAGTCAAATTTGGAAACTGGTTAAGAAAAGTCACACTGTGGTATCCAAGAAGGAGAAAGTTCAATCACATGATCACATGTAAAGAAAGGCTGTATGGCATTAGGAAGGTAGTATCTTAATAATGTAATGGTCTCTTTCCCTGGACGGTCCACGAGTCTTAATCACTGGAAAATGAAGGTTACATCATGTCTGCACCATGTGTTCCGAAACAGCCATAAGGACGTTTTCTATAGAAGAAGGTAATCTCTTCTGTTTGAGCAGGTCGAGGTTAATGGTGGTGGGGTTGTCTCTGGCACTGGAACCATCAGTAAAGGAGTGTAAAATTGAGAGGATCACCTTGTTCTTCCCACAAATGTAAGAAAACACAGAACAGAAGAGTGAGGAGAATGGTTAACAAATCAATGAAACCGCAAACACTAAAACAAACTTGAAAAAAATAACATTCACAGTGTAAGCAGTGTTTAGGCGATTGGGTCACAGTGTAAGCAGTGTATAGGAGATACGGTCACAGTGTCAGCAGTGTATAGGAGATACGGTCACAGTGTCAGCAGTGTATAGGAGATACGGTCACAGTGTGAGCAGTGTTTAGGAGATACGGTCACAGGGTAAACAGTGTGTAGGTGATACGGTCACAGTGTCAGCAGTGTATAGGAGATACGGTCACAGGGTAAACAGTGTGTAGGTGATACGGTCACAGTGTCAGCAGTGTATAGGAGATTTCATAGGATAAGGAGTTTCATTCTCCACAATCACAGTACTTTTGGTTACCTTATAAGTATTACAGTGACTCACATTGGTTGAATTGGCACATGAATACACATGTGAGCAGTAACGCCACGTCAAGGCTTCAACCCTTGTTACTGACCATTCAAACACACCATACTTTGCATTCATACGCATTCGGTATTCCAGATGTTTTGGACTACACCTCCCATAATGGTTTGCCAGCATTATGGTCGATGTTATTCACAGCATCTGGACTGCCCAAGGTTACCTACCTCTGAACTATGCTGTGATCACAGTACACAATGTTGAAGTTGCTGTGCAAACAGGAGCAGTTCGTCATGTGTCAGATGCCACTTCATTAGTTATAAATTCAATACTCCACCCTGGAGACGAGCATCAGACATGGGCTTCTTCATTCCTCTTCATGTACTTCGTGTCCCATAGAAGAACATGCTTGTCAGAGCTGTGACACACACAAAAAGAAATAAACTAGTTAGAGTAACTGGCATAACAGACACAGTGCATGCAGACAGACACAAAGATTGTGGGAGACACACCGGATTAAATATAAGAATTGGGAGTACCATACATACACAATGCACAAAGAGACGGAGATTACTGAATTCGGTGACCGATGGATTTGGTTGCAGATGTGGGGCTGTCCCTCTCGCTGGGGTGCAGTTTCTCATCCTTCTCTGGCGAGTGACTAGATGGCTGCGGCTTCATAGCAAAAAGCATGCCATGGCATATGATATCTAGGAAATAAATATTTGTCAGTGAAACTAGGGTTGTACACATCTAACACACACAGGCCACACGTACTGTACAGCTCCCCATCTAATGCACAGCCCCCCACATGTAACGAACAGCCCCTCCATCTAACACACTGCCCCCCCCATACAGCACAGACCATATACAGCGCAGACCCCCCATATACTGCGCAGACCCCCATAAAGCGCAGACTCCTATGTACAGCGCAACCCCC